GCTATTCACTGAGAAAGATTAAAGAAACGCCTGTAGTCAAATTTAGTCGAAGGCATCTTGTACAAAGTATTCCACCTATAGTTTAATCCAAGTAAACCCATAAACATTCAGTACTTGGAAAGGTAAAGGAAATGAGGGAATAGAATACAGCGATGTCCCGTTAATCTCCTTGCATGTTTCTCCTAATGGACTTCATTTGCAATCTCTTGGATTTTCCTTTCAAACTGGCCAGTTATTGGAATTCGGGTCACTCGGGTCAATTCACTTTTGTGTAGTTGCGAGTTTGTGATTGACCTACAATTTCCAACCAAAATATTGTTTTGGGTTTTACGTGTTAATATTAAGCCGTTGATAAAACTATTTTTCTGAATTCTTAAAAGTGGTGGTAATTTAGGCCTAATTTTTTCGTCACCTGTTAATACTTACTGACATATTTTTATACAAAACTATCCAAAACACTGTTTTGTATGATATTGGACACGTTTTCTTAAATTCTTTACTGCAAACGTCACACCAATTACCATTAATGTTACGAGACAACATTTCGTCTGAAAACAAATGCTGATCTGGTTAGAAATGTGTTCTTCTTACAAACTTTTACTTGTATCTTTAAGTTATAAGTTATTTACAATAAGTGACGTGTTTTGGAATCACATCCAGTACAATTAATTTAGTGAACAATTTTACACATTCGATATCGGTACAGGTTTAAAAAAAAATATATATTCTCGGTTCAAAGTACCAGTACAAGCGGTACATAACTAAACAAATAAACAAAATACTAAAGTAACCAAATACACCTATAATCCGACGCAATGTGCAAACAAAATACTTTAATGTCATAAAGAATCATATAGAATTTCAGCCTCCTAGGTAAATAATGGGAAGTGGGAGAATTATTGATGATGAGTGAGTGAGAGTGAGTGTGACAGTGAGGGCTTTGCCTTTTATAAGTATACATAGCACATTCAACCAGCTGTTAGTTAAAACAAATTATATTGGACTAAAACAAATCGATGATGACAAAGAATACTTTAAAAAATAATTTGAACATCCTACTACTGTATTTTACTATGCATATTTAATTAATCTGCCATCCTCGTACCGAAGAATTAAATGTATCAATGGTCAGCATTACACATAGTATAAATAAGTCAACCATAAGTATGTATTTGAATTTTCTTCCAAATGCTGAATGTTACAGCTGTTATGTTAAGCAAATTATATTGTACTAAAAGCTAGCTAGAAGCATTGACTATTGGAGAAGGTTAGCATCGGCTGCGCTAGACTTTTTAAAAACTAAAACTTAATTTATAAAAAACTGGGACACTAATTCTAAATTATGGCTTTGAAATTCCCTAGTTCTCAAAATTGTCTTTCTTTCAACACAAAAATAATGAAAATCCATCGACTGGTTGATTCAGAATCGTGAAAAACCCCCGTTTACGTTTTAATAATATATATGATAGTTTGGACAGGTTTCAACCCTTCCGAGGCGTAATACATTTACACAGTTTATATGTAGACTACATTATAACTCATAAAATAGTTCTACAATTAAATGGATCTCCTTTTACAAACGTATATAATAACCAGAAATTTTCAGATCGTCCTTGCGTGTATTTTATGCCACAAATTTTGACAAAAGGCTTTTCATTACATAAACTATACCTATTTACAGTGTTGACCAAACAGTTGGCAAGAAGCATTAATAGATATATGTACCAAATATGATAATTTTAGCTCTATTCTAATTATGACAAAACACAAAGTAACTAAAAGCGAGTTTTGTTGGTGTAGTAAGCGTTGCAGGAGGTCTACTTTACACTGAATCGACGTTCACTTTTAATTGCTTTTGATCTTCCGGCACTGTTGACTCAGCGAAACTGAACTTGTATTTTACCGTATTTCGTTATATTAAAACTGCTGTTGCTTTAGATCAAATTCCCAATGTGTCAATCGCTTTAACATGGACCACGTTTTTAGCACGGACTGTATTATTTGACTTACTGGGATTTTTGATCTACAGACACTGCAAACATTGAAGTTTTTGACCTAGCGACACAGGTATAAATTATTTGATCTTCCGGCACTGTTGACTTCCAGCAACATTCCCGTCAAAATGATCTGTTGTTCATCATATTGCTCAGCCATAAGATCTGAAAATTATTTCACTACTTTCATTCTTCGATGCGCGACATGGCCGAGGTTCTGAGACATTTTGTGAGATGTATGAGCGGGTTGGATCTGGCTTGGTTGTAGATGAAATGGCAAAATTTGCTTCTCGCAGTCAATTGTAGCTTCTCTCCCTTGCAGATTCTGTAAATATTTTCACTTCGGAAGTCTTCCACATTTCATTTTTAATCGTGAAAATTAACCTTGAAAACATTTAATACTGATATATAAAAACTAAACTAAATACAACTATTCTTTAAAATGTTTAGTCCAAACGTGGAAGACAACTTGAGATCAATAATCTCGTGACTGCAGGTCATATTCAGTGTTTCGCTAAGATCTCAGGAGACGATAATAATGTCAACATATCTGCGAAAGAACTCATTTATGTGCTTCTAGGTAGTGGCTTTATGTATAACTATTTAAAAATGTATAAGGTTGTGTGAATTAGTGAAATGTAAAATTAGCTTATATGAAAGCTAAAGATTTTTTTTTTAGGAAACAACTCAACAAATACAACATTTTCTTGGTCAGAGGTCTCATCATCGGATATAATTAAAGTTGTTGCTAAATTAACAAATTCTAAATCGATGGATTATTATTGGATTTCTAATAATATTTTGAAAAAGACTATAGGTTTTATTAGCTACCCTCTTGCTTTTATATTGAATACCTGTATGAGGGAGGGATATTTTTCTCCATCCCTCAAAATATCGAAAGTAATCCCAATATTTAAAAAAGGTGATAAAAAAATGGTTCAAAATTATCGGCCTATTTCACTCGTTCCTATTTTTTCCAAAATATTTGAAGCAGTAATGTATAATCAATTAAATAATTACTTTGAAACAAATAACCTATTGTCAAACTCCCAATTCGGCTTTCGTCAAGGTAAATCCACAACCTCAGCAATTCTCACTTTAGTTGACCATTCTCTCGAAACTTTAGAAAAGAAGGAATCTGTGTCATTAGTTTTATGTGATTTAAGTAAAGCTTTTGACACGGTTCCTTTTGATATCCTAACCAACAAACTACGTTTTTATGGCATCTCTAATGATGCCATGCTTCTAATTTCTTCGTATTTATGTAATAGACTTCAATTGGTATCAATTAAAAATAAATGTTCTAAAACTGAAAAAGTTGAAACCGGTGTTCCTCAGGGCTGTACTAGGGCCATTTTTCTTTAACGTCTACATTAATGATCTTCCTATAAATATAAATACACAATCTGTTATATATGCGGATGATACAACTTTACTCGCCAACCATTCTAATTTAACAACCCTGCGCTTAATTAGTCAAGAGGCTGAACATAGAGCATATGATTGGTTTTCTGCAAACAGACTAGCTTGTAATTCTGACAAATCACAATATATAACAATCAGTCTTAAAACAGAGGTAAAATTTGAATCAGTTAAACTTTTAGGATTCAATTTGGATTCAAAATTAAATTGGTCATCACACATAAAATCTGTTTGTAACAAAATTTCAAGAGTGAGGTGCTTGCTGTGGAAACTTAAGGATTTTGTTAGTCAAGAATATTTAAGATTGGCGTATTTTGGACTCTTTCAATCGCATATACTATATGGTCTTATTTTGTGGGGCCACTCTCCACATATTAATGACATCCTTTTACTCCAGAAAAAGGCGGTTCGAAGCATTGCTGGAGAATGCTCAGATGCACATTGTAAACCTCTTTTCATTAATTTCAGGATACCAACCATAGTAAATCTTTATATATTCCAAATTCTAATATATACAAAGTCAAACTTAGATCAATTCTCTTTCCGAAAAGACGTACACAATCACTACACAAGAGGTAGGGATAAAATAGATATATTGCAGCACAGATTGGCAAAAACCAAATATTCACATAAATTAAATTGTATAATGTTTTTTAATAAGCTGCCTGAAGAAGCAAAATTAGTTTCTTACAGTATTTTTAAAAATAAACTGTATGACTGGATTGTTAAAAATCCCTTTTACAAAATTGATGAGTTTTTAAGTTGTGAAATAAATATTAGATTTTGAAGAGTAAGTTGAAATAAAGCTTTTATTTTCATGTAAGTGGCTATTTAATTTAGATATTTTGTACTGTAAACACTGAATCACCTTGTAACTATGTATAACAATGACGTGTCCTATTTCTTTTATAAAGATCAATGGAAATAAATATTTCTTATTCTTATTCTTATTCTTATTCTTAAAGTTGTTTTGGATATAGCTTTTTTTATCTGTTCTTCTTGCGAATTAATTGAGTGATTCAACGCCAAGTGCTGTTTGCCTAAACACTTTGACGAAGGTCATTTTACAGCCTGAGGCTAGGCCGGGCGAGTGCCAGCCAGGTTTCAGTGCCACGGTGAGGCGGGTATGGGGGTGGAAAAATCTACCAGGGGGGGTGAGCAAAACGTGTATTAGGGATAGAATAAAACTGTTATAACCTAACCTAACAAAACCAAACTTGCTGATTATGATAAAATTGATATTAATTTTCAATCGATATTGTGGTAGCCCAATTAAGAAATTTTACCCGGTCTCTGTTACATCCTGCCCACCACACCCCCTTCCACTAATGCCCCTCCCTTGAATCACTCTGACACCCTGGGGAGTCAAATGGCACTCGGGCCTATCTGACGGTTTTAGTTAGTGGTTATACCCTACGGCAAAGAATAGAACGGCACTCGATCCGTTTCCTGAATTTATTAAGAGTTACAATTGTATATACCCTGCATTTATAATAATTTACAATCACAATAAGGCACTATACATTTTTTACTCTGCTTATCAAACATAATAATTTTGTTTCTCGGTGATTTTTGTTATTGCAGAGTGGGCCAGGAATTGTAGAGACATTAGAACGTATAGGATTGGAGCAACTGCTAGCTTCTACTACTGCTGCATCAACAACTACATCAGAGACACCCCCATCCACATCACTAGGGGTGCCAGCCACCCCTGGCAGCGGGGCCCTGGCCTCCCGTCTCAGTCAGGTAACCCCTCGCTCTGCCAGACAACCACGGCAGAGAGCTGACCTAGGTACAGTCCCAGGCCAAACCAACAACTCCCCGGGTACCTCCACCCTGGGCACACTCAGCTCAATGTTGTTTGGTCGCAAAGGAGGTCTCTTGTAAAAGAACCAATGACAGAGTCAAGGTCTCATCCAAACAATATTATACTTTATTGTCAAAGCTTGTACTTAAAAGTAAAAAAATAAACAGTGTAAATCGTTTACACAGTTTAACAAAAAGTTAACAGTAAGTTAGATTACAGTATATATAAAAAAAAATTAAGATTTGCATTACTTCTGCTCCTTAATAAAAATTCATATAAAATTCTCTACTAAAATTGTAAACTTCTGAAAACAATAAATGTGATTGACAACTGCAAATACAAAGGAAGGAAGGTAATTACAAACTTTTGAATTTTTATCTGTGAAATATTGTTAAATATGTGTATTGTTACATTCTTAGCTTTTAAGATTAAGTGCCTTGACTATTGTTAATGTTATTGGTTCTTTGGATATACAGGACTGAGATGTGGACAGCAATGCATGGCTCCTAAACATGACTTTTTCAAGTCATATGTCTATTTGAAATGTCCATAACTATCATCATTCCAAAGTTTCTGAGATTCGTAATTTGTGCAAGGCATTACGAAAATGTACATACTGTGTTAAGTTGTATCGTATCGATCCAAAATTACTTAACAAAAAAAATGTCATTTAGTCCTGTTTATTTCAACCTTATTTAAAACATTCCTGATTTTGTCTGGGTTCATTGCACTGCTGTCCAATTACAGTTGCTTAGTTAGGCTGTGTCACTGTTTAGTAGAATTGTTATAATTTTAGGAGTAAAATATAGTTTATAAGAGAAACTTCTTTACAAATCAGTTTAATAAATGATAATACTTTTAGAAGTAACATAAACTTTTTTCCTTTCATAAAATTTGGAGGCTGTTATGATTTAATTGTACTGTATAAAAATTGCTTCTATGGTAGTTAAATATGTGGGGATAAATTTATTTTATTTCCACTCTATGCAAAAACACACAGTAAGCAAGTTAGTTAATAAGGAAGTTGCTCTCATTTCATAAAGTAACTTGTTTTTCTAATGAATATTTTTTACAACGAAAGACTATTCAAACAGCATCTTTTAAATGTTTTCATTAAAAATTCATAAGCTACCATAGCATGGTCCCGTATAAAGCTATTAGCTAATGATGTTGTGTTCCCAAAGTTCACATCCCCACAGTGCGCTTATTCTTTGATTTAGCTCTTTCAGAGATTTTTTCTTCATCACATAATCAAATATATTTTCTAAATTAAATTGTAGTGAACAATTATTATTGTTTGACAAAATATTGGTATTAATATTTTTTGTGAGGTCTTACTTTTACTACAGTACAATATTTTTACGTGCTAGTGCATTTATCGTTTACGTATTCTTCTTTACCTTGGACACACAAAAGATTGAAACAAAATGCTTCCACAATCCACACTACCCAAACGTATTTATGTATCTCAAAAGCAATACCTATTATTTTCTAGTCATTTTTTCTTAATTTTAAGTATAATTTTACAGCAAATATCCAAATATGGAATAAGTGGTGCCTTTAAGCATCAGTATTAGACGGTGTCTATTTTACTTTAATTTATTTACTCTATTGAAGTTTTAAGGTAGCAATATGTTGTTTGTGTATATAGTGCTGTATATAGTGCTGTATATAGTGTTAAGCTGTCCGTTAATCTGCTTGCATAGATAAGAATGAGGTTGTGAGGCGCTTGTGCCAATCTGAGTAGATTGTGCATTAAGTGCCGACTGGACAGAGTCTGTAAATTGTCTGTAAATAATGTTGAGCTCATTGGTCCTCTTAAGAAGTATTATTTAAACTTTAATAATATGTTTCTTTTTCCTTTTTTTGTTGCCTTGGTGCTCATATTTTACAATCCTCACTGTTTCTGTTGTGCTATTTTATTTCATAACAAATTATATCATTTATGCAAAGCAGCTCTTTGTCTTTTAGCTTTTTATACAATTTTAATTTAATATATTTTAAATGTATGATTTATAAAGTATTTTAACATAATTTAACTATCGATAACTTGCAATCTGATAATTTATCCAGTAAGTTATTGGTATTCAATTACTCAGAATAATTGTATACAAATATATTTTTCAATAATATTCTGAAAAGGTAAGACTATAGGTCAATTTTAAAATTAAAATAACAGCTAAATAGTCTGAAACCTATAAAATAATTACTCTTAATCTCTTATTTTTACAAATAATGAAATCTAGCGCACCAACTTAGTTCATAAACTAACAATAGGCCTAAATATGTTTTAAAACTGTTTTTCAATTACAATTCAGTGTGGTTCAGCTTATGTCATCTTAGTTTACAATTTTTTTTAATTTTGGCTAAATATATATTTAAGTTATTTTTTATTAGAAATGTTTCTTACTTATGTTTGTTAAGTTTCTGTTGGTTTTGTTGCCAAAGCCATCAAGAAACAGTTGACTGAGGCAGTGAAATGCACAAATTTTGCCTGGTCCTGCTTGCAATGTACTGGTTAGATGGTTATTTTTAATTAAACTATGGATTGTAAGTACAATGATTCATTGTTTTTGTTCTCCCTTTGCCCTTTTAGGTTGTTTGTCTCTTTCAACAACAATGCATGAGTATTTTTCCTTTATGCGAATGAAGTAGAAAAACAAACTGCTCTCTTTCCTCTATGTCCTTTGGCAATTTATTTCTATCCTTTCCTTTTGAAGATATGGAAACAATACCCCTGCAACAGCAAACCTGCAGACTAAGCGTTGTATAGTTCTTTTATTTTCTTTAGCCTGTTAAAAATCAACAGCTGATCATTGTTGATCAATTCATAATATTGTAAAATAAACATGATTCCATTCTGGTTCTTGTTACAATGACTTGATTAGATTTCTCTCATAATTTTAATTTATTATACACAAACACTCTACATTAATTAATGGTCCTTTGAGTCGGATATTACTAAAGCGATTTGGAGTTACACTCATTCACTTGAACTCTTCATATATTAATATTTCCTCACTTTATATATTGATTTCTGTGCCTCTGAACTCTTACCCAAATGAACTCTTATTTCCACATTGGAACTCTTTAACCACTCATTTACACTTTGTGAATTTTGACATTTATCTTCTACAATGACACTTTCAAAAATTGAATTTAAAATAGGAACATAATACACAACTAACATATTTGATAAAAACTTGTCTCAACAAAATAAGAAACACTGTAGATCAACTTGTTGAACCAGAAGAATCAGTAATAGTTGTGCAACTCAAGACCTTAAAGTTACTAATGCATGAAACTCATAATAAGAAAGAAGACTTTGATGCTTATTTTCAGCGCAATGTAATTACATCCAACGAAGAATATTTGATCAATGAAACTTTAGCTGAGGATGAAGATCAAATCAATGAACTATTCATTCCATTACCAGCTACATTAAAGCGCTGATTCCAGAAATTCGTTCTTACCTTTATTTGGCCAAGGTTGATTATAGTCTAGCTTAACCTCGCAGAAGTACTGCAGTGAATGTAACCAACCCTAACTCATCAAGTGAGTTTCAAATCAAAGGCACCCAGCTTATACAACCTGGAACAAAATTCATTACAATAAAGAGGGCGGTGGCAATCATGATGCCTAAGTTTACAAACTCGAAAATTAGAAATATCACAGTGACAGTGACAAAATCTCAACCGACGAATACAGATACCTACAACAGTGAGCTAAACTCACTTGACAAGTGACAGTGCTACCATCTAACCTATCAACATTGCGTCATCCCGAGTGACAGTGCTGTTATCCATCCTACTGATACTAAAAATGCTCTCACCCATCATACTGACTATGTTGCTGTCCAACCGACAGTCAGTGCTGCCATTAACCTAACCCACAGTGCAACCACTTCAGTAAACACAGTCAAGCAATCCAGACAAGTGGTTGTATCTTCCGATGAAGCGCTGACCAATGGCTATACTTCATCATAAACTACAGAGGAAGCGCTCATCCTCCAATCTCAACTTGTTGAATAATTGAACCAAGAATGCTATGAATTGAGGAAATGGGATTTGAACCCTCAAAACTTCTATTTAACTTCTATTCCTCAATCTCATCATGAAACACCAAAGTTCCTTCAAAACTCTGATGATCGACATTTCAACGAGCTAGGACTTCAGTGGTCTCCACAGTATTTAAGTTGTACCCCAGCAAAGATGGTATGGGTTGAAAAACAGAAGTAGAAAAAATCAACCAGCTGCTATAGTAGGCCTACAACAAAACTTTGATTTAATGTGGTATGCTCTGGACTAACGAATATGTTCAATTCTTTTAGCTAATATTTTATTTAGCCTGTTTAAAATTAATAACAACAGCTAATCATTGTTAATCAATTCATAATATTGTAAAATAAACATGATTACCTTCTGGTTTTTCTTGTTACAATTTCTCATAATTTGTATTATACACAAACACTCTACAAGCATAGTTCCATTTATCTGTTGGATTTTAACAAAACCATGAGTACCTAGGTTAGCTGCTACAGGGGATTGTAATAAAGTGTGTTTTATTGAAAATGTTAATAGCTTAATATTAAATATACTAATTTATCAAATCTAACATATATAAACATAAACAAAGCAAACTAAATTAGTTGACTTATTCTCCATAAAAATGGTGAAAATTTTGAATATACAATTTTTTGGAATTTTCTCTGTAACCATTACAAGTACAACAACGCTTCAACATACTACCTATGTTATTTGTTAACATGGGAATTTAAAATTACACTACTGTATTTTTGAATTTTCTCCTTGACTGTTAGGCATACAACGGCGCTTATATATACTAAATTATTTCTTTTTTTAGGTTCTACAAAACGGTTTAAAAAGAAATTGCAAAATTTTTGGTTTTTAGGGTAAAAAATGGGAAATTAATCCATTTAAATATGAGTACTCATAAAGTTAACATGGGAAACTCCAGAGCCACTGGGGCGGTGCCCTTTTGACGGATCTGCACCAAACTTCACACAATCCATCCTTGAATAATGCCTGAAAATTTCATTACAATCTGTCGAGCGGTTTCGGAGTCCATAAAGGACAAATAAACATACATTGGATTTTATATATAGAAGATAGTGATTAGGGGAGAGTGTTGTACCTTTGACCATCTTGTACCTTTGACCACAGGCCATATAGTGAAATCTAGAGGTTGTATAGGGAAACTAATAAAACTAGTTCATAGATCAGCCACCAGAGGACTACTTCACCTTGCATTGGAGATTGAAAACTGCGGTTGTTGGAAGATATTTTAATTTATTCATTTTTGCTACTGAAAAGTAAAAATTTGTTGACTTATTGTTTGTTTTATAAAATGTATATTTTTCTACAAATAAAAGTGAAAGTGAGGGGTTATTATTTGATGTTTATCCTATAACTTCTCTTGGATGTTTGAAACTGATACGACTTATCTTTTGATAATATATATATATATAATGGCGGGAAGCGCTAGGGTTGTACCTTTGACCACTTAATAGTGGTGTTCCTTTGACCAGGTCAAAGGTACAACATCATCTGTATTCAGTGTAGTTATTACTGGTTTTTATTGAAATATGTTAATGTATTAACTAGTTAACCGCTCGTGCTCCGCCACGGGAATATTGTCAGCAATAAAAGAAATAATAATTAACAAATACTGTTTATCTTTGTATTTTATTTAGGGGTTGTTTAATTTTTTACATGAAATAGAACTGATAGTTTGCCTGTATAAACTATTTTATGTTAATCAAATAACCGATATATTATTTTAACCAAATAATGTTTTATATTAATTCGAGTTTAATTTGAAAAATAAATAGTATACGAACTGGACAATGCTGATAACCTAATAAGCAGCTATTTATGATATTTAGATAATTTGTTCAAGTATAGTCCTATATTCGTCGTTTTTTTTCATTACATTTGTTGTATGGAATAAAGATAGTCACTTAGCCTACATGTATATCACGCATCAGCAGTTGGTTGCATTACACGAATCTTTGACCCATACTGTGAGTAAAAGCTGTGTTTACGTCGTATATATAAATTTGGTCATACTTTGTTCAATGTTAGAGGGTATTAACGGTCCAATTTGATGGAAAAGGAGTCGTGGATTTTAAAACTATGTAGACTACCACTACCAGAAAGATGTTGATTCAAGTGAGACTTAGAACTGGTCATTTCAAATGCAGATTTGTATTATATTTTACTCAAATAGTTTTTCGTCTCTTTTGACCCTTAATACTTTTTTTATAGCCGCTGTTGATAAGATTTTCCATAAACTCAAAATGTTGATAAGGAGTTCATTTTACCTTCCCCTTGTGACAACATAAGGAAAAAATATTTGTGTCCCAGTTAGTCTGTTCTGACTCAAAATTCATAGATTTGCATTACTGACAAATTCAATCTAACGACCCCAATAAAAAAAAATTGGTATTTTTTAGAAGGGACTTCCAGAGCACATTTAACACCATCACTGCTCTTTACCTTTTTAGTTCGATGGTTCTCTGCATGTTTTTTTTTGTTCTGTATGTCTCTTTACGCTCAGTTAATGATTACCTTTTCTTTTTCTTTTTGTACTTTTCACATCCTGGGGTTAATGATAAAGTTTTATAACGCTATAATGACCCGAGTCAACATTGCCATTACCCTAGTAGCACAAATATGTATTTTATAGGTAAATATTTTATATATTTAAAGTTGTATTTGATAGAACCTCGAATAAAATATATAAATAATATATCTTTAATAATAGTTTGATATATTCAAATATATATTTAAAATATTACCAAAAAGCAATGCAAAATATAAATTAAATATAAGTTTTGAATATATAAAATAGATTCATAATATACATTGATCAAATAAGTATAGAATCTATAATATACATATTTTATATGTGTATTTTTCCTATTAAATATTAAAAAAAATATGTGTTGAGAATATTTTAAATATATTTATAACATATTTTTAAAGTATATTATATATTTAAAGTATTTATAAATATATATTTTGAAACACGTCAGATATTTTTATTAATAAAATAATAATATATTTGTAGAATATATAGCCTATAATCTTTTATAATTAGCAAATAAATAATTTGCATCTTTTTGTTTTTTATAGTGTCTATCAATTTATACATGCATTTTTTGTATGATAATTGCTATTGTGAAAGCGTTAAAATTAAGTTAATAATAATACGTACTCTGAATGGTGTCACTCTATCATGCAGGTAAAGAAAAAATTACGCATATAGTTAAGAGGCAGTATACATGTTCGACAGCCTACATTTGGGTCAAACGAAAAAAAGTGTTGATGGGTTTTATTTTTTAAATTGCAATATGTGACAATGAATGTGATCATAGTAATCTCGAATGATTGGCTAGAAAAGGGTGCTAGTCACTGGCGACCTTTTAAGAAACGAATTACGGAAAAACAGATTAACAGAATCATATTATACTGTAGTATCAAAAATGTTCAAAGTATTGCAACTGACAACCACTCTTTTTTTACCATTTGAAAAATAATG